AACCGGCTCTTAGAATAACCTTCAACGATTAAGGTTAGGCTAGAAGCAACACCTGGGTGTTTCCACCCTCTTCCATTTCAGGGCTGTGAGTCACCTCCAAACACGGCAAAGCCAATAAATTCCTGCCAGCTTGTTGTGCTTCTCAGCTGGCTCACATACAGGAGCTTTCAAGCCCACATAAGATGTGACACCTCAGAGCAGCTCCTCTAGGATAAAATTATGTAACCGCAGTGCAACAAGGGAGAAATAGAGGAGGGAGGGGGCATTTTCTGATCGTTTATATATGAAGCTTGAGTGGGAGTGACATTATATGGTTTGTTTAAAAATTCTAGGAAATATTTCAGCTACCCACTTGTCCTGGCACGGCGCGGTTGGCTAACAAAGAGCCCACATATAACTTGAAAACGACCAAATAAATATCTTCCGCTTTAAAGCGCCCATTGTTTCACAGCAGATAAATTTAAATCGGCCATTCAACCCAGCTGAAAGAGGGACGGTGGACTTCCGCGCAGGGGGGTGGGGGGGGAAACAGCGTGAAATCCAATTCGTTGTGTGCAGTAAATGTGAAACTCTGGTCAGCACTTCCAGCATGCGCTCAACTTTCCTCCCAAGTTAGCAGCTGCAAAGCATCCGGGCGCTACAATCGGCCGAGATCAAAGGAAACACTGTTACAGCTCAGCAATAACAAACACGAGCGCGCACGAGCGCTGTGCTACGATTGGATCTTACCTCGATGGCAAAGGCAGCGATCCCGACTCCTTTCTTTATCTCGGCTACAACTTCCACCCGTCGTCGGGTTTGTGTTTGAAGTTGTGGCACACTTCAGGCGAGTCCGCTTCCCGACGTTAAAGCTGTATCACACCCTAAACTCGCGGGAGACGGTTCAGCCATCTGTTTGTCTTCACACTCTTGGGTTTGTGCCCGAAACAAAACAATTTTTGGAAAGTTAGCCGCTCGCTGTTTTCTGTGGGTGAAGCCAAGCAGCGTGCCGGAGAGCGACGAGCTGAGCGCAGAGAGAAAGAGTCGAAGCAGCAGCGGTGGTGTTTCCTCTGGCTCCTCCCACTCCTGCTCCCGCCGGCCAATGGGCTCAAACATCAGCGCAAAGCTTTCCTTTATTCTCCAGCCAACCTGGATCAGTGTCCGTCATTATGTTCAGAAACCATCGCCATGAATCACTCGAAACACCTGTCACCGTATGTTTCACCTGCCTGCTTTGTTCTCGCCTTTCCTTGGCTTGCGCGTAAAGAAGAAAATCTCCATTTCAGCGCTATCAATGAACGCCAAGTAGCCTGTGTTTGTAAAGGATTTAGCGGAACAACACAATGGAAAAGGGGTGTCTGTGAAAAAAGACGACATAACGATAGACAGAAAAGATCACTGGGAGGAAAAACTATCCAGGACGGCATCGATGCTTGTAAATACGCACAGGGTTAAAACTACACGTGTGATACAGGCTGATGTTTAAGAAAGGGTTTCCTGAAAGCTGTTTGATGTCACAAAACAGCTCTGAAGATCATTTAAAATGACCTTCACAGACCAGTCTGCTCACCCAGCTCTGAGTCAAAGTGAGCGAGATGAACAGTATAAACATAATTTCATGAAATAACTATTGTTACTAGAAAAAATCAGCGCATTGATTGTGAAAGACAGATGTGAAGTTGTAAATAACTAACCACAATTTTACATCATATAAGATTTAATAATCTGCTCTAGAAGGTTTTTAGAAAGTCACAGGTCCACCCACACACCCATCCCCACCCACAGACAATTCAGACCAGAAACCACACAAACATTTTGCTTAAATTACTGAGATTTCTTCAGATTTTTTTACAACTCGGTCAGCTATTGCATTATTTTGCACAATTTTTATAACACAGAGGTCTGAGTGTTGCACAAATCTTCCATAATGCTCACAAGAATAAACACTGTGGCAGTAAATCCCAACATGTTTGATTATTTTTGAAAACCACAAAAATAGCAACCATGTAGATAACAGAGCCTATGCCATGCAGTGGGATGGGCTCCAGCAGCCCCCTCGTGATGCCGAATAGGATAAGTGGGAGAAAATTTTAATTTTGGAATGTAAACTATCCAAAGGTTGACAAAGAATTAAAAAATTAATGATTAGAGTAAGAAAACTTAAAGTTCTTAAAGGATTTTCGCACATCATACAAGACGGCCAGTCAGTAAAATATCTGGAGCAACAGTCTTAGTGATCATATGATTGCAGGTTGAGGGCTGTGAGGTTGTTTCTTCAGCTGAATTCTTGGCATTTTCTGCAGGAATTAAGCACTCGTGAGGTTTGCAACAATTCATAAAGAATGCGCCTCGGATCCAAGCAGCCTCTCAGGACGAGAAGCAGGTCAGTGAGTCGTCTAAGTCTAAGCTTGTACTTGTTTGCAACTCAAAGTTTTAGAAAAGAGACTAAAGTGAGAAAATGTAACAATTAAGCGTCTGTGCGAGTGCCAGCCTTTGCTGGGACGTGCCCTGACACGTCTACATGTGCGACTGATGATGTGAACAATTCATTCTGTTAAGGTGTGTCAGTTCCAAGGCTCTCACGTTGTTCCAGTGGGTGAATTTAAATGGATTTGAATTTCTGCTAATGTTATTAGCGATTGTCGTGCTTTGACAGGCCACAGTGTCTGCTGTGGAAAAGCGTAATAGAAGTCAGCAGAGAAAACCTCCTGGATTTAAACAACACTGCTTTGTTTGTGCACCGAGAAGACTGAAGTCCACCAGAGTGGGTGCCACACATCTCGGGTTTCCTCTGCCTCTCTTCCTGTTTTGAACTCCTTCTTAGTGTCGCTCAGCAGCTGCTTTTGAAGATTACAAACTGCGGCTGCTGCTTAGCTTTCAGAGTTTGTGTGGATGAGAGAAGCAGTGTTTTAAGCCGTCTTCCCTTTTATCCACTATTTCCTCTCCTATTATTTGCTTGACAGGGGATTTACATCTGAGTGCATCTCATTTATCAAGTAAGCAAACGTCTCAGACGGCGAAACGTCCTGGAGTAACCTAACATCCTGGTGCAATACCTCAAAGTCTGACAGTCATAAACTGGACTGTCAGACTGTAGCTGCTACTCATTACTGCTGGAAGAGCCAAATGCTTTTATGCACACAAGTGTGCCTGAAGGAGATTAAGAATTTAAGCAGATTAGATTAATGAACTCATGATTGTAATCTAGGGTTAATTCATTTTGCTGTGCTTTAACCCACTCCTCCCCTCCCCCGACCCTTTCGACCCCCAGGGCTTGAAGTCTAACCGGTCTGTGGAGTGTGTGTGTGTGTGTGTTGTTGCAAGCTTTGTATGACTGGTCATTAATTACTGTTGGGCAGGCGCAACACTAATCAGACCCCCTACGATTGTTCATCAACACCCCCGACAGTGCAATAAACCACTCAGTGAGCGTCTGTTTAGATGACAGTAACCGCCACTCCATTGTTGCCTACACTGTACCACTTATTTGTTCGCTCAAGGCAGGTGGTCTCCTTAGTGAGGTCATCGAGTCTGAAACATAAAGCTGGGGGTCCTTGGAGAGGCCATCCTTAACCCTGGGCCCCAACGCAAACAGCTCAGAGCTTCTTCTGACTTTCTATTCCTGTAGGCGACTCTGGCTTTTCATTTATTTTAGCCTGCAGTAAATGTTTTGGCTCATGACCCGCTTATCAAGGACCGCTGACATGTTTAGTCCTAACATTTATTTAAAATGATGTTATCTTTAAACAAGTAGATATGACAGAATTGTCCCTCCTTTTAGAGTGACAGCCCATCCATAGATGGAAGAGAAATGCAGTTTAGTGTATCCTGATCAAAGTAACACACAGAGGATCAGGAAAACATGTGCTCAGACTACAATTTAAAGAGTGACTGCTCCTTTCAAAGGATGTCCGTGTGTAACTATTTTAAATAAATCTCACAATCTAAATTTAAGGGGTGCATTAAATATTTTTTATTATTATTTTTAGTTAATAATAAAATAAATACAAATTATGACTTATGGGTGGAAAATAAATTAATACAAAATTCATTTCAGTAGAGGAAATCAGCCTCGTTACAGATTAAAGTCTTATCGTGTTCAGTGACAGGAAAGTTGACTTCACATGGTGTTGATCTGCACAAAGAACATCTGCTTCATGAGCAGTCACAAACATGTATGGACACATGTAACTGTTTACAGCACACTGTGAAAGAGCCTAACTGAACTTAGTCAAACTCGAGGGAGTATTTAGCGGAGAACAGCTCCACCGTGTGGCAAACAAGAGCACTTTTGTTAAAGTGGATCATGTGCTAATCGTAGGGGTGACAAATGCCCTTCTTTATGTTGGACTGCACCGCATTTTTTACCCCTTGCGTCCCTGTCACGCATATTGAGACAATGTGCCGCACTTTGACCGGCTCTGCGGGATGTGTTAAAGTCTGGATTTTTATGCCCAACACTCTAATGCGCTAACTCTGAAACCAATAGGAGGGAAAAGTCACCTAAACGTTACACGCTTTGCAGATTTTGAATCAAATCATCCAACAGAAAATTTAGCCGCAGTTTATATCGTTTTTTTCCCCTCTGGATAATTTCATTAGTTTCACACAAGAAAAAATGTGGCGTAAAGTGACACTACACTGTCTCTTAATTGGCTAGAAAAATGCTAACTTTGGCTCAGTAAACATTGCATAGATGATGAAATATAATGATGATTAACAGACAGGAGAAATAACAGGACTATGTAAAAACTATTGCATAAAGTTCAGATCCGCTTCATCCTTATTTTATTTACTTAGCAAGAGAGTTGCTTTTAAATACCATTTATTTGGCCTTTACATGCAAACCCGCACAGTACCTCCCTGTATTGCCAACATGTCCCACATAGTCCCACAAAAACGCCGTTTTTAAATGTTCAAATGTAAATATACATAGTAGTACTACACCTGATCTGTAGGAGAAATGCTACTTGTAGCAGTACAGCTTATGTTGGGGAAAAAAAACTACATTTCCCATGAAACCGAGCGGCTTACACGGAAATGACGCAACAGGCACAGCTTCTGTCAAGGGCATCGGAAGCTAACGCCGGCTAAGGCTAGCAGCGGCTGTTTGCACGTGTATTGGAAGAAGCTCCGCAAAGGTGAGTTTGAAGAACACGACTGAGGCGGAAATGGACGGCTTCGGTTCCGACTTCTCAGCAGGAGGGTCCGGCGGGAAAATGGACACCGGTACCATCATGGAGCAGGTCAAGGTCCAGATCGCGGTGGCTAACGCTCAGGAGCTGCTGCAGGTAAATCAATGAACACGGCTGCTAAGCTAGCAAGCGCACATTGAGGTTCAAAGAAGTGCTGAGAGCTTTTATCCTTACGGGTCAGAGCTACACAGCTTTACAGTAGCTTTGTTTTTCGTTCTGTGTGTAAGACTGTTTTATTTTTTAGCCCGCAATAACTTCTGTAAGGTTGATGGATCCTGCCAGCATGTAAATACATGGCTCATAGAAACACACGAGCCAGCACTGAAATGCTGCCGACACAAAAAATCCTTTTGAGCCAGACCAACGTTGGAGGGTCTTTTAATACATATCTGTTTTTTTAAAAGTCATGCAAATATTCTGCGCTGCTGCTGCTGTCAGAGTAGTAAATGCTAATAAAACATTGTTTATATTTCAGAGAATGACCGATAAATGCTTCAAGAAGTGCATAGGCAAGCCTGGAAGCACACTGGACAACTCTGAGCAGGTAGGCACTGGCTGAGTCGCTTCAGTGATGCCCTGCTGCCCAGAGCAAAGAAGTGATCACGTTTTAAGAAAACAGGAGGGCATAACGGAAGTGCTGC